AGACACCTGCACCTGCTGGAGCAGGGCAGGGTCCTCGAGGCCCCCCGCCCCCTTCGCTGACATCAAACCCGGCTCATTCCTGGGGCCTCCTAGGAACCCGAGCGCATTCTCGCCGCTCCTGGACAGAGGCGGAGGGGAGACGCTCACACACACACACCCCAGCACCCCGTGCGCCCCGCCCCGCGCACCCCGCGCACCCCGCACATCTCTCACCAGGGTACAGCTGCTTGGTGGGCGCGCTGAGCTGGGCATCCTTCGTGACTCTGTAAGCGACATCCGGGCTCTTGGAAGACCGCCGCGTGGAGCAAAACCCTGTTGTCTTGGTTATGCCGTCGGGCAAGGTGTGAAAATCTAGAACCTTCAGGAGGTCTGCTGGCTGAGCTGGAAGGACAAAGGGGGGGCAGGGGATTAGTCACAGGCAGGCAGAGCACCCGGGTGGGGAGGGGGGCGGGAGGTGGCTGCACCGGAAACCCAGTCAGAGCTGCCCTGAAGCCGGAGGGGGGGGTGAGGGGGGGTGCAGGGATCCCGCTTTGGAGAGACACACATCCAGGCGGGCAGCCGGTTCCCGTCCCAGGTCCACACCCCGTGTGCTCCGCCTGATGGCCGCCCCGTCCCGATCGGAACCGACACCGATCGAAACCGCGTTCCCTCCCAAGTCCCAGTCGGGGGACAGGGGGGTGCAAGGGCCGGACACGCCAGCCTGGTTCCCAGACACCGCTCCTCACGGCGCCGGAGAAACCGCCCCAAAGCTCAGCTGGAAGGCGGTCAGACCCGCCGCGGAGGGAGGGAGGCGGCTGTGCAGGGCGCTCAGGCCCGGGGTGACCCACAGCTCACAGAACCTCACGTGCACCGTCTGGGTGTTGGTGCCTCGGGTGTGGCGGGGTAGGCCAGGCGCGTTTTATTCCCGTCGGCACCCAATTAAGAGGCAATTTCCCCACCACAGTTCACAGCGGATCCGGTTCCCATTGGCCCCGGGAGACCCAGGCCTGCAGGCAAGACGGTGCGGAACCACGGGCGAGGGAGGAGCGGGCCCCTGGGCCCCTCCCGGGAGG